TCTCCAATAGTAGAAGATTCTCCTACTGTATAGTAGTACTGTATAGGAATGTTGAGTTGCATTCTATGTTTTTAACATATGGAACATTCCATTTTTGTTGGTTTTTATTTTGGAATTTGAAAAATATACAGATTCAAATTGATGTTGAACAAACTGATGTTGGTAAATAAATGGAAAACCAATAATAGCTGCATTGACATGCAACTCTTAAGCCACAGTTTGGTGCTAGGTGCCTTGGGTTTATGTGCTGCACACCCGCCGGTACTGCCATAAAGACATTGGAAGCTTTTGATTCAACAAACCAAATTTAACACTAACCACAGATTCTGAAATAACAAGATATTGCAGTTAGCTCATGCACATTTACACTAGACCGATTTAGCACTGTGTGTGAACCTCTTTGTCACAACTTTGAACATTCAGTTGAATGTAATTCTGCTTTCATACTGCATGTTAGCCACATTCATTTGCACTAAAAGGTGCTCTGTCCGTGTGGTTTATTTGCACTGCCTATTTAATGTGTTTTTGTAAGTTATACCTGTTATTTTATAAACTATTTTTTTCTTCACAAGTTTGGAAGGACCCAGGTTCAATCTCTTGACATCCCCAGGTAGTACTGGGAAGGACTCCTGCCTGAAACCCCAGAAGGTCACTGCCAGTTAGGGTTAACAATACTGCTCTAGATGGATTAATGGTCTGACTCAGTATAAGGCAACTTCCTGTGTTTGTACATGGTTATCACAATGCAGTTTGTCTGGCTCATGTGCTCAGAGTTCCAGACAGTGTTTCTTAAATCCATTGTTTGCAAGAACTCTTATTGTTGTGACACTTTTGTGGGTAAGCTGAGAGTTTGTGTGAACCCGGAGGCTGAGAGGGAGGGTGTGTCAGAAGGAAAATGAAGTGTTTTTGTATATATATAAAACTTTGCATTAAGGTAACTGTTACATATAAAACTCTATTTTATATTTAACTATATTTTTGTAACATTTTGTTAAAGTTATCTGTTGTTGCTTCTTTTTTCATACGTAGTTGCCAAATTGTGAAGCAACAGTAGAGGGCACTGTGGCAGGAGATGGCACAGATTTCTAACAAGCATCCACACGAATACTTGTAAATTTTAAAATGTATAGCAGAACACATTTTCTCACTTGTGACATGCAGAGTCTTAGATTCATATGTACAGTATAGCAAGGTCTTAATTTCAGGGTCGTAGGTTTGAGCCCTACACTGGGCAAACAGATTCCTGCATTGCAGGGAGTTGGACTAGATGAGCCTTGTGGTCCCTTCTACAATCCTATTATTCTAAGTTATTTCCAGGTTAATTCTATGCTCTGTACAACAGAAGCTGCCTTTTATTCATGTTGGAGGAAATCCAGTTAGATGGAGCAATAGCCTTACTCCAAATAAGGGAAATTTGTATTTTCCTAAACCAATAATCCTTTACACCTACAAACATATTAAGAGATTCATGTTCAAGATGATTAGATCAACGGTGGCAATATTCTACCTTCCAACTCACCATGGGATAAATTCACACATGCTTAATGTGGTGAATGCAGCTTCAAGTGATTATTACCTGTCTGAAACATTGTTCTCTGAAACTCTCAGAACCTTCCCCTGGTGATGAACATGGATAAAGTATCTGCTGTTACTCCATACCTTTCAATTTCTGTCCATTTTCAAGTCTCACAAATTGCACATATATCACCACATAGACATAATATCACATGTACTAACAGAGAGCTCAGGACTGAATTATATTTAAAATTAAATTTATATTTCACCTTTCCTCCAAAGATCGCAAGGTGGTACACATGGTTCTCCTCCCGCTCCTCCCTATTTTATTCTCAACAACCCTGTGACGTAGGGTCGACTGAGAGGCTTGATTGGCTCCCCAAGTCATCCAGTGAGCTTAGTGGAGATTGGAACTCTGGTCTTCCAGGTCCTCGTCTAACCCTGCTACACTCATGCAGTCAAAACGGAGCTACTGAAAATGAGGTATCAGCATACTTAGGAAACCTAAAGGTGGGGAAACCTAAGGAGGCAAAAAAAAAACAACAACAAAAAATCTGCAAAACAGCACAGCCTAATGAAAAATGAGCATCTTCAGTGGACACAGAATGCACTTGTTGAAGTGGCACAAAAAAATCCAGGGGGGGAGGGGGAGGAATGGAAAGGAGGAGTCTGAAGGAAGACCTGGCTAGCTGATTGGCTGAAATACTGTTGAGGAACACTCTACTGCAACATGTCGTTATAGGTCCCATTTGCTTTTATCATTTGTTATGCAGTTGTAAAAATATACTCTCCAACACAATACATCTAATCTAAGCAATGAGCAATCAACTATTAGTTGGGGTACAACTTGTAATTTGCTTAATTGCTAATCAGCCCAACCTTTCATTTGTAAAGGGCAATTTTAATAAGTAGTGCTGAAAGTTAAGGAATCACTTTACTTGTTTGCATCGGTCCTTGCATATCTCTGTAAATTAGGGAGTGAATGTTACCTCTGTTTAGGTAACGGTTTATTAAATTGTAAATGATCATACCTCCAAAAGGCACCATTTTTGTAATATGTAAACATACTGTATTTAAATGTAATTGATTACTTAAGTTATAGAGCTAATGATCAACTAAACATTTTTAATTGGATAGTAGCCCCCATTATCACACTTGTGTGAATCAGCTCTGAGACAGGCAGTTTCTGGCTGAACTGCTTTTATTTGGGGGAAACAACCAAGGCAAACATTCACCCTTTTCTTATACAATAGGTTTCTTCTCTCCATATATATCACAAATCTATGTTAAAAAGAGCTTTACCGATTCTGCTTTTGCCCCTGGAATTCTGTAGAGGTGAAGACTAGCCAATGCTTCTGGGAGATCAGCATATATTAAATGTGACCTTAATCACTTGCCAAGAGCATAGATCTGGGGAGACCCTGGAAGCCAGATTCATCACACTCAAACCAGTTCTGATTAAGTTGTAATACAAATTGCAATAAAATAAAACACATTATTCTAGTGAGAGTTCTTTGCCATAAAATATATTGGTATTTTGATTAAGAAGAGCAACTTGTGAAAAATAAAAGACTCAATACCATTAAAATATATTTGCTGAAATCCCATTTCCCCTTCCTTTCCCCCTTAAGGTAACATGGATACAGTTCCCAGGCAGCCTTCCATCCAGACATAAACCAGAACCAGGGCTGTTGTATTATCACCTTAAACCAGGAATCAGCAACCTTTTCCAGTCGTGGGCCAGTCCACTGTCCCTCAGACCATGTGGTGGGCCAGACTATATTTTGAAGAAAAATATGAACGATGCCCCACAAATAAGCCAGAGATGCATTTTAAATAAAAGCACACATTCTACTCTTGTAAAAACACCAGGCAGGCCCCACAAATAACCCAGAGATGCAGTTTAAATAAAAGGACACATTCTACTCATGTAAAAACACACTGATTCCCAGACCATGGACCGGATTGAGAAGGCGATTGGGTCACATCCGGCCCCCGGGCCTTAGGTTGTCTACTCCTGCCTTAAACCATGCTTAATGGCCTACTGACAGCTCAACCATTGCCCACATTGTCAAATAATCCTGACAAAATGGCAAATAATCAAAATCTGGCTCAACAGATGCAAGGGAGGCATTTATTTTTAAAAAACGTTTACTTTGAACATGTAGTTGGCATGGCTCAGAAAGACCTTTGGAATGAAAGTTTGCTCAAATAAAATATAGGTTAATATTAATGAAAACTTTCATTTTACTTGTTGCATAGTGCAGGGTCACTAAAACAATTTATAATGGATTCTTTTACATGCATACCCAGAAAGACTACAAGTAATGCAAGTAACCAGCACCTTGATTTGAGTCTTCTCTGTTCTTCATAAGTGGTCCTGAGACTTATGTCCCAGTGCAGCGGAGACGAATTTCCTGCACCTTATACATGTACCTACAGGGCGACACCCAACTTTAGTCATACTCAGAGCAGACCCATTAAAATCAATGGAGTTAAGTAATTTGCCCATAGATTTTAGTGGGTCTCCTCTGAGTAGGACTAATGGGTTTATGCACACTGCCGCCCCTCTATTCTTTATCACAATCTTAAAATACAAAATATTTTTTTAATTATTTTTTTTTAATGCAATGAAGCCTTCAGATCGACTGCATCGCCAAGCTTTGAAAGAGGATTCTCCAAGGCTGCGAGCACGAGGCCTAAGCTGATCCATCCCTGTCGTGCAGCGGAACTCCTTCATCAGCACGGGAGGAAAGGACAGCTCCACGGGAGCCTAGAAAACCGAGAACAAACTTTCCAAGGGCAACTTTGCATGTGGGGAAAGACGCCGCTCGGGGAAGGACCACCCCGCAAAGCCAAATATTGCCCTAAAATGTAGGCAGCATTGAGGATTTTCCCCACTCCCGGGCTGCTGCCTTTCGCGTGCCTGAAGAGATTTTCTATTGTCTAAAAATAATAATAATAGACGGTACCCCTACACATTTGGGAAAGTCGAAACTCCACAACGCCTCTCTCCAACAAGTGGGGGGGGGGGGAGAGGAGAGAGGAGTAAACGCGCCTTTGACTGTCCCCCACCGGCCTTAAGCACAGACGCCCCTGCGTGGCCAAAGTTAGGCTTCCCAGAAGAAGCGCCTCGGGCCTGAAGTTGGCGAGCCTCTCCGGCCGGTGGGCGGGCTCATTGGCGCCCTCGGGGGGCTCTCGGCGCGGTCTGGCTCGTTGCATATGGATGGCGGGGCGGGCTGAGGCGCGGGGGGCAGTCCCACGTGCCCCCTCCCTCCCCGCGTGCATGGGAAGGCCGGGAAGGCATTCAGCAACTGCAGCTGTGCTGCTGCTACCGCCGCCGCCTCACAGCTCGCCTCAGTGTTTACCTGCTGCAGCCCCTCTGCCTTAACCAGCGCAGGAGCGACGAGGGGGGGGGGGTTCGCTCTCGGGGCGCGAGAAGCGGTAGCTCCCGCCGCTTCTGCTGCTGCTTCTGCTCCTTCATAGCCCGCCTGCGGCTGCCTGCCTGCCTCCCTGCTCTCATGCCATCACAGCAACAAAGAACACGCTGAGCAGCGCGCGGAGAGAGGCGCCCGGGCTCCAGGCTCCACCAAGCCGAAAGACGGCGGGCGACCATGGCTAGGAAGGGGGACGCCGCTGCCTCTCCTTACGGTGAGTGAGGCGAGGGGTGCTCGGGCGGCAGCGGCGGCAACGCAGAGTGAGGGGCGGGCGCCGCGACGCAGCCCACTCCGGGCCGGCTCCTCCTGGGTTTCATTCCGGCCTGTTTTGGCGCGCGCAGCCCCGCTGCCGCCGGAGTTTGTTTGCCTTTGGCGAGCGGAGGGAGCCGGGCAGGTCCCTCGGTCGCCTCCGCGCTTCTGAGCGCCTTCCTTTCCCCCCTACACTCCCGTCCCCCCTCTCTCTCCCTTCCTCACTCAGGCGAGCGCGGCTTGTTGCTGCGCCCTTGAGGAGGTCGGAAAGTTGGGGCTGACTGAGGCTGGCGGAGCGACGGCGAAAGGCGGCAAGTCCGGGGCAAAAGGCGCTGCTCTGCCGCTTCCCTCACGGTCGTGTAACCGGGAAGAGAGGAGCGGGGGGGGGGGCAGCCGGCAGGTGCACCGCCGCCGCCGCTTTGTCTTCCCCTCCCGGGGGAGGACCGAGCACTGCTCCTTGTGGCCACGAGGTGCGAAGGGAGACATTTGGGGAGGGGTGAAACGGGGGTGGGGGAGGGATGGGGCAGGAAATGGGGTGCGAGGCGCTGGGGAGATTCGGCCGAGGCTGAGGAGATTTGGTGTGGGCAGCTGGGGCTTGTCAGTCACCTCTCTCCCCCCCACCCGATGAAAAGGGGGTTTAAATTAGCACCGTGGCAACATTTATTTATTTATATTTGTGTGCAGCCAGAAGAGGAAGAGGAGGAAATGATGGTGGTGATGCTGGACATACAACTCTGCTTCCCTGTTTTGGGGAGGGAGGCGGGAAGTGGTTTCTCCTGTTGCGCCAGGAGTTAAGGACGAGAGATTTGGAGGCAGATATGGTGAGAAGACGGTGTCAAGGTTGGGTTTAGGAGAATAGGACTATTTGGAGGGATGCTTCCGACTTGGGAATCTGGGGTGTTGGATTTGTGGGGTGGATGTATCAGCAGGAGCAGGAGGGATTTGAATAAAAGGTTAGGCTGAGAAATGTGGTGCTGAGGCTGAGCTGTAAGGGCTTAGTGTGGAGCCGGAAAGACTAGACTCCAGAGTTGCAGTGGGGTCGGGGAGGGATGTCATGTCTAAACTGTGTACATTTAAAGCACAAAGAATGCTGGGGACTGTAGTTTGTTAAGGGTGCTAGGAACCATAGCTCCCTGAGGGGTAAACTACAGTTCCCAGGATTATTTGAGGGAAATAATGAGCTTTAATTGTGCATTAAATATATGGTGATTATTTTCGAGGGGACCCAATGAATCAAGGATGCACAATTTGGTCTGTGTTTTAAGGACTTGGAATGCCTGTAATGGAGATGTAGAACTAGAGACTGTAGGCTGTTGTGGTGTAGTGATAAACAAATAACCCCATTTGTGACTGCTGTTTCTGTGTCCAAATGTAAAAAAAAATGGATATAGGTGAGTGCTGTTAATATGGTGTGTGTTGTGGTGCATAAGAGGGAATAAGTAAACCTATAAGGAGCTGGAGTTAGAGAATGTAGAGTTGGAGCATTTTTCTATGCATCCCATGCCATTTGGAGGCTTTGATGTTTTGCAGAGCAGCTAAGCCATTTGTGTCTACAGTAACAGACTAGTACTTTCAAAATCTAATAAAATTCCAATTTAAAACATATGAAAGCTACTGAAACCGTTTTTTTCCTTTCACATCCCTTTTCCAGCTCAACACCAACCAACCAACCAAACTCAGTTCCCTCCCAAAAAGTATCTTCTGAAATATGTTTACCCTTGGGCTTAGCACATTTAATTTAACACAGGGACAGTACATTTTGGTTTACTGCAGTGGGGAAACCGATATGTCCATGTTTTATATGAAGCTGTTAAAATATGCTAAGGAATAGCAGATATCTGAACTGAGAAACAGACTTTAAAATGTGGTGTGATCACACAGCTATAGATGTACCAGAAGTGAGAACTGAGTCACAAGAATGTGGTGGTTGTTACTTTACATCTTCTGTGTGACAGCTAAAAAGTGTTGTGTCAGTGTGACTATCTGATGGCGTATCATACAACACATAATAAACAATGTTCATTCAAATCTTATTGCCTCCTTTTGTGTAGGAGAAGCCATGAGATCTGATGAATAATGCAAACTTACAAAACTACTGGGATGTATGGGGTGTTGGTGGAAAGGTAGTACCTCTTCTGGGGTAGTTTGTCCACCTTTGGTCCCCCACCCTGCACTCAGCTGTCACCTGTGGCTCCTGGAAGCTGTCAGAACCCAACAGCAGCCACACCCTGGGAACAGCTTTAACTGGCTGGCTAAACCAGTGAGGGCAGCGGATGGGTTTCAGATCCTCAGCAAATTAGGGACTTTCCCTTCATGCAAAGACGGTCTCCAGGGGATTGAGCGGATGAGACAAATAGTGCTTTTCCTCAGCCTCATCTTCTGAAAAATAAATCACATCCAATTTCTCTCAAATTCCACAGCAGCAATTTGAAATTTTGCTCCACAGTGTGTTTTCAGGTGGTTTCCAAGGCTACAAAGAAAGTAATAGAGGAAAAGCTGAAGGCCTTTTCCAGAGGAAACTGATGAATGCTGAATTAAAACGTGGCTTGGAACTGGGTAGTAGTAATGTCTTGACAAACATCTGAGAGCATTGGAATCCCAATTAGATTATACCAGCTATCTAGCAATTTTAACCCTTTCTCTTACTTTCAGTTCAGCTGCAATGGAGTTCCGAAGGGAATGGTTTTGGTGTTTTTTTTAATTTGAAATATTTCAAGTAGCTTCCCATATTATTGCTATAGCATGCAAAGTTCTGGATTATTGCAAAGGAAAAGCAAACCATGTTAATGGTTGGCTGTTCAACAGAGTTTAAGAGTCAAGCCATTTGAAACCATTTGTTGTTTTTACCAGCTAAAAAGTTCTGGCAATAAAAACATGCTTTTTATATTTGTTACAATAACCAATGAATCTCATCACTATAACTTGATGGAAGCCACTTTAGGTAGCTGAGAATCAGAAGTGGGAAGAGTGCTTCTGTGCACAGGTCCTGCTTGCTGACTTCCCAAAGGAATCTGGTTGGCCACTGTGAGAATAGGATCCTGGGCTAGATGAGCATTTGACCTAATCAAGCAGGGTTTTTCTTAGGTTCTTTTGTCCCAGACCCTTTGCACCAATGGCTATTAAAGCTGCACAGAAGAAGACTTTGATAAACGTGGAAGCATGTTGTTTACACTATGATATTGTTGTGAGTTTGGGTGTGTGTGAGTAGGCCATATTCAAAGACCCTTCTAACCCTGATCCAGCAAGTGTTAAAACTTCTAACACCCGTGTCGCTCACCACCCCAGTCTCCAAAGTGGTGCGAGATTACAGTGGTTCCAGGTGCTTACACACAGTTTGTGTTTCCTTCAGAACAAGGCGCAGCAGAGTCTGTGGTGTCTTTATGATATATGGTTTATTTACACAAATATACGATTTGAGTCTATGGTGGAGGGGTTCACAGCATTAACACCCCAAAAGGGTCTTGTTTCTCCAGTAGTTGTAACCTTGGATTGAAGGCTATTCCCAGCTTGCTGCTTTGCTTCTAGACCTCAACTCTGGCTTTGTCCTTCTAACTAACCGAAAGGGGGGGGCACACCTATTTGCTGTCTTGCACAGAGCCCCTTTCACTTTGTTTCCCTTAATGCTCCATCACCCAGGCGATCATCTAATCCAGAAACCAGCCTGGTTTATATTTTCACACTTTCTGGATCCAGGGGTTAGAAGGGTATCTGCGTACAGCCTACTCTCACTGCCCAAACTCATAACACTATATATCTTATTTCAGATATTGTTTCCTGGTTGTGTGGATGGAGTACATAGGGAAGTACAGATTCCTACTGTTCAGTGGAAGTGTCACCCCCTGCCCACAGCTTCCTCATTCACAAATTAGTGTTCACTCATCATTAGAAAACCCTTCCACGGATCCTTTTCATTGCAAGGGATATCCACATTCACACATTTAAACTTTTAAAAGTCATGTTTGCTCTGACTTTGCTGGATTTGCTTTTGCTGCCCCACTTCTTCAAAGCTGTGGGATTAAAATGAAATTGAGGTAAAGCTGTTTGAACTCTCTTATCTAAGTTACATCCCTTTACAAGTTACTTTCCCCTAATAAATGTCTATAATAAATGCCCCCCTTCCTTACATTCTTTAATCAATAGAACATAACTAGTTTCCCATGTTTTATACATTGCAACTTTTTAATGTCCCTTAGATGTAAACTGTTGTACTAACTCAATGAAAAAGAAATATGCCTCTGTCAAAGCAAAGTTTATACAGCTGGCACTGTAGGGAGAAATCTATCAGTGTAATTACAGGCTGCTTTTTGTATATTATAAAATGCAGTTACTTAGGACCATGCAGGGCAATTTCTTACATTGCTTTTTTTGTTACACATGCTATTAGTGTGTACATAAAATTTTGGAAATAGTCCCCAGCACTTACGGTAAATAATCTGAATAGCTGACACGTCTTTTCAGAAGGTACAAAAAATAAATATTTCATGATACTTTCAAAGGGAAGATTTGTGAGAAGTAAAAGAATAAAAGCAGACCTCAATCTACAAGCTATTCAAAATGAATTATTCTAACCAATGTATTGGGACTAAACTGATTTAAGCTGACACACACTTGCTCTGGCCCTGGCTGGCCATGATTGGAATTACATCAGCAAAATGATCTTGCTGATCATTTGCTGAGCATATGAATCACATTGTTGTTGATGATGACAGTAATACTACTCCTTAATCTTACATGCATGCCATGTTGACTTCTGATCAGTTTCTAGTTGCAAATACAGAACTGACAGTTGATCATTTATACAAATTTAGGCCACCCTAATTTCATGAGCCAAGAATATTTGTGCTTATTTATAGCGGGTCAATAATTGGTACCATAACATCAGAATGATTCTCTTTAGTTCTATCTTCTATTCTCTCTTATCATCAAGCAATTGTACCATAGATGCTTGGTACATTTAACTGGTGG